CACAGGACCATATAGCTTGAGAGGAAAAGAAACAGCTAACAGATGCAAAGACTTGTTTTGCAGAGACAAGTCTATTTCATCATCTTGCAGCTCCACAACTAATTGTAAGTAAAACTTAAAATTATAACTGCTAGATATATGACAGGCAGGAAACGTGGCTCTCTCGATGAGACAATTCACGGGTATCACCTTAACAGCCTAGTCTGTTTGCTAAAAGGAGCTCTGCCTTTCAGCAAGAGCTTGTATAAGAACGCTGCTCGTGGGTTTCGTTGTTAGGCAAGAAGTGGTGGGGGAAAAGGGAACTAAGGGTTTCATTATCATGATCAGCAGAGAAAGCTGCTCTCCTCAGGATATTAGGCAAGAAGTGTTGGGGGAAAAGGGAACTAAAACGTGTTCAGACTGATACGGACACTGCAAACTTGCAAGGTCATCGCATTCTGGGACACGGGTGAAAAGTACACTGTGAGGAAGACCTATGGCCTTCCTCCCAGAGACCACTGCCCACGGTAGGAAGACCCCTGCCCACAATTTCTGGGAGGATCTGCACAGGCAAGAAGGACTGAAAAGCTAATTAGCATGCATTAACATACGAAGCGGGAGTGGGCGCGGTTAGGTGGTGAGTGTGTATTGGCGCCACATGGCTATGTGTTGCTTTGCTGTATGGATGTGGGAGGGCTTACTCCTCGGGCATGCGCACTGGTGGTGGAGCCATCCCCCGTGCAGCTGCACCCAGTAAACACACCTGCTGTGTAACTTCCGACTTACAGAGTCTATTTCCCTGCATCAGAGGCAGAATCAGAAGTACGTGGGAAACCTTATGAACAAAATTCACCCTTTTTTGATTGTACAAAATAGATCTTTGAGTAAAAATCAGTGTCTTATTAATTTTTCTTATTTTGGAAAATTTTAGTTGACAAAAATTGGTTTAGGCTATCTTTCAGCAAGTAATCCTTTCTAAACATCCTAAGAGATGTATCTAATTAAAAACATGTGATTCTGTGTGTCTAAATGCACAAACCTTTTAGAATATCTTTAGTTTGGAAATAAACTAGAGAGTTCAGGTTACAATCTTTTCCTATGTCTCTTTGTAAAATCTCATCTGTCTTTGTCTTCATTCAGCAGCTGATCTGTGCCTTCTCTTGAAGCCTGTTTTCCATCTGACACTGGGATGATCTGTTCTCATTCTTTTTCCTGTGTGTTTTTCTTTCCTCTATTCCTGCAGTTTCTGGAAATTCTGTCCTTAGCTGTCATCACTTTCCTTGGACACCTTACACCTTAGCTTCCTATGCTAACAGTTTCCAGGTTTATTTCAAGTGCTAGTTACCTTGTGGATTCTGAATTCAGGCTGCTTCTCTGTACCATTTCACTCTTCAGTTTTCCTGGTCTTGCACATGTTCTTATTGCTCAGCACAGCCAAAATGTCTTATGTTGCTTACCTCTTCTTGGTATTCCTTGCTCACATCATCTATAACCAAAGTATTCCACATCTGACACATTTGCAACATCTCAGATAGTCTCCCATCTAGGTAAGGAAATTTTTGTCGTTATTGCTTCCGATCCGCCCATTTCTTTCCTAGTCTGCTCAGTACCTCAGCTCCATCTGTTCTCTTGGGAATTTTTCAGGCTATGCTATCTCATTTGATCTTACACATGTCCTTTCTTTGGTGGTGTTTAAGCATTAGACTTCAAGTCAAATTTCTTCCAGCTGAAATTCTGTTAACCTGCACTTAGTATAAGCTTCAATTTCAACTCTTACTTCTATGTTCTTGCCTAGATTTGTGTTATGATGCATTTTTATCTTTCCTTACTCTGCTTTTTGCTTGGAGCAGCCTTCCACGACACATGTGCTAACCTCGTTACTCCACCTTATTTTTAACATAAAGATCTATAGAGCCATTCAGCATGTGCCCACAGGATGTGTGTACTTTGATCTCTTGTACATCCAAACAATCCTCACTCTATCTAACATTCCATTTTCTTTGAGACAGACTAGATTTTAGTATATGCATTTAGGGAATGAATCTGTGAATAACAATAGAAAGCAAACTTCAGACTTTTATGTGAGCATGTGAAGAATCATGGGCTAGGGAAGATTAATACTCTAGCTCCTTTAAATAAGCAGTATTCTGATATTATTGTTGCTTCTCATTTAGACTTCTTTGCATCTAATGGTTCTTTTTCTCATAAGATTTCTCGTGTGGCTTCAAAACCAGCAGTTTTTTTGCCTCCTAGGCAATTTGGAATTGTGAAAGCAAGCCAACAATGAAGGAAAGCATTTTGCATAAATGTTGATGGTCGCTTTGGCTTTAAGCGTGTCATCTCTGGGTTTGGCTGGTTTAATTCTTCAGATGTGACTTTGGAAATATGAATGAAATAAGAGCTGAAGGTTGTCTCATGAAAACTACTCACAAATGTATTGTGGGCTATGTTGGTGGCTTTGTGGCACAGAGACATATTTGAAGCTTTTAGTGTTTGGGGAGAAAAAGCTGTCAGAGCTGTCTGACATGATTTATTTTGTAGAAAGGTTGCAATTATAATGTACTAGAAATTTTTGCTGTTTTTCAAAAGGAATATTTGACTTTGTCAGTTAAGTTTTTAGCATCTTATGTATTTGGCAAACAGAAAAACAGTATTCCTTGTAATATCTTTATTGTATTATTAGAGTGGTGAATCTGAGAAAGTACTAGGCCTTTAACAAGCCTGTCAGCTATGTCTTTGCTTTTGTCTGGAAATTTACTGTATGCTTTTAACCTTGTGATTTAAGGAAGGGAATGATGCTCTGAAGGGAGTAATATAAGGTAGTGTGAAAACCTGATCTAATGCTTCCCTACTGGTCTGAGGATAGCTCAGCAAAGATGTAGACTGTTTGCACGAGAGGGGATTTAAACAGTATTTCTTAAAAAGTAGTGAGAATCATGGAGAATTAAATGAGATATAAGTTATATTGCTATTGTTACTAAAATCTGAGGCCTTCCATTGCTTTGGGTCTAAACTTCATAGTGGCCTCTTGGGGAGATGTCACAAAAACTCAACCTATGGTCTTGTGGGAGTGAAAGAGACACTTAGGGAGGATTTGGTATTTCCTCATGGTATGATAACGAGATTGCTTGTTTGTGAGAAAAAGAGTGTGTGTAGGTGAGAATACTCTAAGGCAAAATATATTTCAAATATTCACCTTATCTATGCACTAGATTTAACTTTTGATCACCGTCAGTATTTTTTTACACTTCAGATTTCTGCCATCGGTTTTGCCAGTAAGCTTGAGGGTATTTACCCCAGGGTAAATGTATCTGTGCTGGCAGGAGCAGTAGCATTAGCAACGGTACCACCAAAGCAGTACTTGCACTGTTTAAATAGTCACGTTCATGTGCTCCTACTCTGGATGTTATCACAGGAACTGAATGTTCATTCTGTGGGAGATGAACTGTTGTGGCAAATACACCGTATTTTCTTTGAGTTTCCAGTTCCTAGGGCTGGTAACCCCACCCTCTAGGGAATATTTTGTATAAGTTCTATATGACGTCTAACTTTACAGGTATTTTAGATAAAAATATGCAAGTTCTGTGATATTGCAGAGTTTGACTGAGGTGGTAGGTTTTCGTTACAGGTATTGCACCCAGCTGTAGAGTCTCTGGACCTCCGAGACTGTGATATTTCAGACAATGCCTTATTGCAGCTTTATAACTGCAAACAACTGAAAAAAATCAACTTAAATTCTTGCAAAGAAAACAGATTGGGAATCACTTCAGAAGGTACGTTCTCTGTGCACAGATAACTGGGATCTTAATTCTGTTTTGTTTTTCTTGCTAGACTGGAGTAAATTGCTTAAAATAATCCCTGATGCCACACCAATACTAATTAAAAGTCAGTTCAGTGGTATAAATTTTATGCCTAGAGCACTGATTATCTTATGAGAGAGAGCTATCAGGTTACTCTCGTGGTAGATTTCTGGTAAAACTATGCTACATTTGATCATCTTTTCCACTTCATCATAATTATTCCTATTCCCCAGTAACCCCTGGGGTTGAAGTTTCAGACTTGTGATTTCATAAATTGCTTTTTCCCCCTCTTTTAATTAAATGTATTTGTTAGTAAGTCAGCTTACAGCACCTTTTCTGAGTTAAAATACTTGACTTGCTTTAGGACTTCAGGATGTCAGGTGTTACTTTTAACCTCCAGTTTCAGTTTCAGGAGCTATTAGCATTATAATTAAAAGAATTAAGCTTGCTGAGTTTTATTTCCCACAAATTTTGTTATATCTTGTGATCACATTTGTGATGGAGCACTCCTTTGTTCCATCATTAACTCATTCTCATTGAAAATTGAGACAAAATGCTTATTTAATATTGAGCTAATGTATACTGTGTTTTAGATCAGGTTTGGCTTGTATTTTCTCACCATTGTATAGTGATACACTTGGGTTTTTTACTTAAGTAATTGGTTAAACTTTTAAAAATTTATTTTCTTTATTTTCAGTGTCACCTCATTGTTATACCTTTTGACCTCTAAGATATAGTTTGCAATGATCTTCCTTCTATGCTTTCATCTGTCCACTGATTTAGAGTTCTTAAGGTAGCAGCTAAGCCTAGAGCTCTTTATGTGTTCTATTAATCCATTTGGATAGACATTCCTGATTATTTTGCAATTAAAAATGAGAAATCTAGTTCTTTATTGGCAGATTCCTAGTCCACCCAACTTTACTAACTTTCTCCTACTTACAAACTGAGCCTTTTTTAAACTGAGAATTGGTTATGCAGCCTTTAATTTAAGCTGCCCATTTAAAAACAGTGTTACCTTTTATTAATTGAGTAACAGGTCAAGGTTTTTTGGTTTATTTGGATGAGTGGGACTTTTGCTTTTTTTGGGAGGCCTTTTTTTTTTTTTTTTTTTAAAGAAACCCCCTGGCTACCACATCCAGAAATATCTGAGCCCTGTCATTACTAGGGAACACTTGCTCTGTAGGTTGCACATGGTATGTTTACTGTCCTTTAATACAATATCCAGAGTACTTAATCCTGTGTCAAATTCAGCTGCCACTGCCATCTCTTTTGTCATTCTTTGCAATCTGTTTCTGTCCCAAGAAAGTATATCTTATCCATGTTTCTTTGAAGTTCTTACATAGTAATTTATCTCAATGACATTCAAATTTTATTTCTGTCTGTCATGAGGTGATATAATTTTCTGTACCACTGTAATCATCATGTTTCTATCAGCCTTGAAATAAACTCCTTTCATGAATTGCATCTTTTACTCATGTATTTTTATTTTATTGACTACCTCCTGATACTTCTGTGCAAATATCGTGGTTACTGCTAACTGTCAGGGCTCTGAGGGCACCAACAGACTCTAATGGCCATGACTGGCCTCACCTGCCATACCCACCTACACCAGCTGCCCTTGGACCTTCAGTCCTGGCCCGAGCTGTGTCGTACGTGTACCTGGGTCCTGTCCTCCTCCTGAACTAATGTCTTCTTGGGTTGACCTTGGGCATGTCTCTTGCCTTGCTTTTTGCTTGACATTCACTGCACCATCAGTGGGACCTAGCACTCTCTCATAGCCTTCAAGCCATTGGCTTTTTTTCGTGCACTTGCTGAGGTGATACCTCATGTATATAATATCCCTCAGGTCCCCGCTGCAGTATGGAAGAGCAGTCAGCATTTAGACATTTTTATCAGCTCTAGCATTGTTCAATGTCATTTTCTTGTTCTCATCCGTGAATTAAAAGAAACCCACCACAAAATTATTTCCATGTTTGGAGTCTTGCTGCCACAGCATGAGATGAAAGGTGAACAATCAATGACCAAGGGACAGCACACTGGATCCAGCATGGTACTTATGTTAAAAATTGCTTTGTTTCTTTGACAGGTGTCATAGCACTGGCATTATCCTGTCCTTACTTACGTGAAGCATCTTTTAAAAGGTGCTGTGATATAACTGACAGTGGAGTTCTTGCTCTTGCACTCAACTGCCAGTTCCTGCAAGTAGTGAGCTTGGGTGGCTGCTCAGGCATCATGGATGCATCTCTACAGGCACTAGGAGAAAACTGCGAGTTTCTTCACAGCGTGGACTTTTCATCTACTCAGGTAACTACAGTGGCAATTGTCTAACTGACTTTTGTTTCTTTGTTTTTAAGATTATTGTGGTAAAATAAAAAGGGGATCTTTCTAGCTCTACTCCTGACAAGATTTAGGACCACAGTTCACTTCTAATTTCTTCATCTGAAGAAAAAGGAAACATCTGTGTTGCATTTTGGTAACCAGAAAAGTACACGTTTTGGTATTGCAGCATGTATTGTGGACCAAAGATAAACTTTTATTAGAATTTACCTAATACTGGAGATTTTTTTTTTTTACTATCTTTATTTAGAAGAATGATTTTCTTTAAGTTGTAAATTATTCAAAATATTTCATTTAAAGAGAGTAGAATCTTGGACAGATTGTCTACTTTCAGTTAGGGCAAGCTGACCTGAATATTAATAATATAGGATGTCAAACAGCATAAGCCCCTAGTAGAAGTAAACACGTCATCACTAGTTCTAGTTCAGGAGTGACTCTGCTTTCTGAACAGCTTGTCAGTGTCATGTAATGGGGTCAACATGGGCAGAATGACATTCAGAATGTCAGAAAGGGCACGTAAGAGGATTTAACAACAGTGAGTAGTTAGTGTGAGAAGGGGGAAATCAGCTGCAACAGCAATGCTATAACATATTTCATAATTACATTAAGATGATGAAGTGAGGGGAAGGGTTTTTTTGTGGTAAGTGCGGTGTTCCATTGACTGATGGTGGGTGGTTATTCTGGATGTGAGTTAAGCACAGAGCACCTCACCTGTAACAATGTATCAGATCTGGAAAATGTAGCAAGTTTTTATTTTAAATGCTATCTTTTCAGTTTCTCCAGATGGAGGGCATCGAAAGGAATTATAATCTTTTCTTTGATAATATTTATTATTATCATTTGACTATTTCTTTAAACTTACTTCATTACTTTTTTCTTCCTTTGCGTCTCTCTTCCTTTGTAGGAAGTAACTAAGCTTCCCTGTGTATGTTTTAAATGAGATAAAAGCTTCTTGAGTAACTAAATATTTCCACGTTTTTACATTCGTCTCTGATAATCATGTGGTGGTAACGCACTAGAATTCTGAATTTCATTTGACTAAAAATATATGGAAAAATATACTAGATATAATTAAATTTAAGACGAAGCAGAGGAACTGTGGATGGCTCATGACTCATGAGATGATGTCATGATCTCATGATGGCTCATGAGGTTGCCAGGCCTAACCATATTCTTCTGTTTGAGTGCCAGAATGCATAGTAAAAATATCAAGTGGAACTGGCAAAGGTGTGTGAAAGAGTAAACCACTGAGAGCGTTGGAAGTACATGAATGTGCAGAGAATGGCACAGCTCGTTTGCAGAACACAGAAGTAGAGGTGAGCTAGACTATAAAGAGGCCAAATGCTTCAAGGTGATGTAGCCGTCTTAAAAACAGGCTCATCCCCTGGACCACATAAGAATCTATTTATCTTTACTTACCAGTATGCTTATTTTCCAGTTCTGAGGAGATAGGTTTTACATGTCAGCCCTGTTCTTACTGCTCTACTTCTAGCATGCTCTAAATCCCAGCAATGTTAACAGAAACACAAGCTAAAGAGTCCAAGACAAGTCAAAGTCAAGACAGTAGCAGTCAAATGGTCTCTCCGGTGTTCAGGTACGAACCAGGCAGTCTGGTCCAGTTTTTTTTTTCTGATGAAGTGGAAGATGAGGGACACAATCTGTCAAATCTTCATCATTTTACTTAGATTGATCTAGGTTGGTGACTTTGCACTGGGTTTGGATGTACTGCTTTATACCCTGCATGAACTGACAGTGATTACTCTCTCCACTCTGTCCCACCTGTGGGAGTTATTAGATTTTATTCATTTATTGTCCTGTGTCTCCTGGTCTGGGTGTCTTGAGGAGCTGAGTGTGCTCTCCTCGTGATGATCTGCTGAGCCAGGTGCTGACAGTACCTGCCATTCCTGCAGGCCTCTGTGTGCCTCCGTGCCGGGCTGTTCCTGGCCGTCCCCCCTCGCACTGAGAGTGCTCCTTCTGCCGCAGGTCTGGCAGCAGGCTTGCAGTAGAGGGCCAGAAGGCAATAAGACAATTTGTGCAATGGGAATAATCAAAGCCCTAAACAGAAGTGGAGCTCGTGGTCTCTGGATTCTAGCTGTCAAATCTGGCTGAGCCTCACTGTGTGTATTTGGTGACTACTGGTCCTGCTTCATAATGTAAGTTCTGTGTAAAAACCTGTGTGACAGATCTGATACTCAGTCCAGCTTTTGAAGTGGGGAGAAAGTTTAATGAATTTGCTTCCCAGAAGCAAATTAATAAATTGACCTTTCTTGCCTTTCTAGGGAAAGGAAAGGTAATCGTGGCTTCCTGGCTGTCTGTAGCCAATCACTTTGATAAATCTTTTAGCACAAGTGTGTGATGACTGCTCTAAGACTGCTTCGGGGTGTGACAGGTTTTTCTCATACATAACTGGGTTTTGAATGTGTAAAACTGTCTTTTGCTTTGGGAGAAATTGTTTTATATATGTGGTTTGCTTCAAGATAAAGTGGAAGTAAGACAGCAGATAAAAGACTGCTATAATTACTTTTTTTTTTTTCCCCCCAAGAAACTTCCTTCAGAAACATCTCCAGCAGTCTTGAAAGCAGGAGAAAAATTGGTCTAGGTAGCACAGAAATGCTTTAAACCTTAATTTATAAATAAATTCAAAGTGCCGTGCTCTGACTATAGTAATGTACCCACTGTTAAATGAGACACTGGAGCTGCAGAAATAGCAGCTACACAGCTGGAAACACCCTGGTGAAAAAGCAGGTTGGCTCACATAGCAATAAAATGCAACAGAGTTTAATAAACTGAAAAAATCATACTTGGCATTTTCTCTGCAAGTTCAGTTGGAGAGAAAATACTGTAACATTAACTGTATTCAGTGACCGCAGGGAGTTAATAAATTAATAGCATTTTTTTGTTGACCTGAATAGCTGTGTTTGAAAAAAATGAGCTTTAATGATGTTTTTTTTCTCTAGGTAACAGATGATGGCGTTGTAGCACTAGTCAGTGGAACATGTTCAAAGAATCTAAAGGTAACTTACTCAACTTTGTAAAAAAGAAATTAACAAAAGCAAATACTTTAATTTAAAAATTATTTATTAATATCAGTAAAGGATGGTGTTTACAGGCTGACTTTTGCCTTAGTTTGTGTTATGCCATAACTTTGGTTATTAATTGGATTTTTTCTGTCTCTCTTGTAGCAGTGTCCCAGACTGGGTTTTTGAGAACCTCAGTTACTTCAAAATAAATTTTCTTTTGTTGAACGTCATATACTTTTTTTAACCTCACATTCTTTTAGAGAGATGTATAATAAATGCAAATGAATACTTAAATATTCCCCTTGATTTCTTTGGAGTTATTTCTTGATTCTGTTGAACACCAAGGCAGAATTTGTAATGTGGATAATTTCATGGATTTAAGAAATTGGTTAGCAGCTCTGCATAGGTAAATCTCTAACTCATGGAAGAAACTATGAAAATGAAGTTGTCTTTGCATAAAGATTCTCTAGGCTCTGGGACAGTGATAAAAGATGGAGCAGAGGCATCCCACACCTCTTACTACAAATGATGTTCTGCTTTTCTATATAGTTCATTTCTTATCTGTGTGTGTAGTTTGGCTTTTGGAAAGGCTGATTCTGGATCGAACCTATTCATCTAGAAACTAGGATGGGAAATGTCACATTTTTGCTAGTTTATGCTGTTTAATAAAAAAACTCTTCAACAGAATATCAAAGCTAAGGTCAACTGACATTATTAATGTCCTGGAAAAAAACAGAACTGTTAGTGTTTTATTCGAAGGGTGAACAGTTAGATTTGTTTTATGTTTTTTTCTCTCTGATTTTGACTATTTTTGGACAATTTTTTAGTCTTGATAAGTCTTGTGATACAAAACAAAAATATTATTTTTCAGACCATTCAGCAATGAGATTTCTTTTTTTTCTATATAAACTAGAAGTGCCTTGAAAATATCTTTGTCTTTTAACTGGTTACAACTTTAGCTGTAGCAAAACACTGATTCCGGATTTATAAACAACATCAAGACTGTGCAGGTAGCTCGTTTGGTTGGTTGGTTTGCTTGTTCATTTTAGTGTGGTTGGTTGGTTGGTTGCTTGTTTTTTTGGGTTTTTTTTTTAGTTTTGACTCTTCATAGAAAGTGTCTTATCTTTCCAGGACGTTTTCCTGATCTGCACAGGATCGCATATGGGGTCGGTGCACAGAGGAGTAGTAGGTCATATCTTCTTCTGGGTGGGAATCTCTGAAAATGGTTGGGCAAAGGAAAGCTCTGCCTCCAAAACTCTGGGTGCTCTGACAGACTTTTGTTACTACTGTTTTCATGACAGGAGATCCACATGGTACGCTGTGTGAATCTGACCGATGTTGCTGTGGAAGCAGTCCTTACTTCATGTCCAAAGATACACATTTTCCTGTTCCATGGATGCCCCTTGATAACAGGTAGGTCAAGTCATGCAGGAAGTAAGAGGAGTAATTAATTCCTGACAGTATCTTCTTGCTCTTTGCAAGAGCACGCTGTACTTTGTAAATAATCCCAGACCAGTAATAATGTACCAGATCAAATAGTAATCATACACTGAGATTTTCAAAGCAAGGTAAGAGTTTTTCTTTGAAACATGGCCGCCTTCAGAGTGGGATTTTGGTCGTTGTTTTGGAATTATTTTTTCTTTCCTTTTTTTCCCCACCCCTTAATGTGCTGATGAAGACATGAAGTTGATGATAAGACTTCAGAAAAATGTTAGCAGCTTAAACTCCTACTCCATTCCAAAAGTATGGAACAGCATCCATTCAAGAAACAGGGGAATGGAGTAAGACTGGATAGCTAGGAAAAAAAACACAAACAAACCAAAAACAAGAGGTTATGATCTGTCTTGGGTTTTTTAGGTCTGGTTGGTTGTTCATGCTTTACAGTTATGTGTTTGGAGGAAGAACTGAGTGGTTTTCAATACTGCGGGTATATCTGAAGTGTGGTATTGTAATGGCAAGATAAGTATAAATGCTGTTATATAATTGGATTGTTTTGCTGTGTACCTTATTTCTAAATGCTTCTGAGGGAATAACAGGAAATTCCTTGGTACTTTTGCAGATCGCTCCCGAGATGTTTTAGAGCAGCTGGTCATATCAAACAAAATCAAGCAAGTAACATGGACTGTTTACTGATTATTTATCGTGTACATGTGAGTGTATAAAATTTACAAGTGGGAGAGCTCTTTCAGGAAGCAAGCACCTTGGAGAAGTCACTGGAGATTGTAGCACCAGAGTGCTTCCCTCCTTGTTCCCACCAGAGGTCTCTGTCCACATTGCAGTCTTTGGCTCTGGGTCTGGGCTTCCCCACTGTGTCTACTTGGAGCCCTGTCTGTCTTTGCATCCCTGATCATACATGAAGAGGAAAGTTGAACTGTAATTTATCTTACACTGTCATCACTCATCCTCCCTGATGTGAGGATCAGATTTAGCTACTCCTTGGTATCTTTAGCTACCTATACAAACCAAATTTAAGGTAAGTCTGTGTTCTGAGTTTGTAGACTGAGAAGGTAGTTGCAACTGAAAGTGCCAAGCCCAAACATAGTGTCAACACTTACACAGAAGTGTCTATGAAGTTGGTACTTTAATCTGACAAAAATCAACAGACAGAAGTGGTGAATGGAGGTGGCGTTAACAGCAGTGCCGTGAATGCATTTAAAGTGGTAACCTTTTCACCATGTACTTTTCCTAGGTCTGTAAGAAAATCTGTGGGTACCTTTCTTTTGATTTTATTGATGGTGCAGGTTTCTGATTTTATTTACCATCAAATACTTGCTGGATTTTTACAAATCCAAAAGTACAGTCTGTGAACAAGTAAACATAAACTTGCTTTGAAATTGTTGTGGTAATGTAACATATTTCAGAGTAGTAGCTATGAGCAGTGACTGAATCTTGTATATGGGCAAATACTTGCTTTGGCTTTTGCCTGTGTTCCTGGATGAAAATGCTTTTAGGGAACAAAATGCTGGTCCTCCTAAGCCTGGCTGTGGGTGAAATAGGACCAGATTTATGTCTGAGTACATAAACCTCAGGATGGTGGACTTCAGCAGAGTATGTGTTCTGCTGTATGCAATTTATTATACCAGAAACTGAAAATAACAATAATTTATATGTTGTTCAATTGTAGCAATATTAAAGGGGAAAAAAAAAGTAATATAAGAGTGTAGAATTAATTTATTACATGATGAAGCAGTGGTCTCATCACAATTATATGTAATATTTATTTTCTTTCCTGAAACGTCATAACCTCTAATGAGACTTCTATGATTCCTACATTAAAGTTTTTTAAATGCTACCAGTTTTAGCATTATGGAGGGCAGGTGGCACAGTATGTTGATATTCTGCATCTGAAAGTAGCAGGGTTTAGCTGGTGGCCTTACATGGATCTGATGACACTTAGGAATCCATGAGTTTAGGCAACTGTAAGGAATATGTTTACTTTGTAATATAACACTTGTCATTGCACACTCATTTTAAGGGTTGCAGAAATAAACCCGTCTTCTACTAATCTAATGTTCAGGTCAGATTGCATGGATGGTAATAATATATGTTGCATCCAATAATACTAAAGGATATTATGATGTCTGACAATAATCTCTGACAATAATTCTGTTGATTATATGGTTTATGGAAGAGCAAGTCCATTTAGGAAACTTGCTGAAGTGTGACAGCATGATTTTCAGACTGCACTTGCTGTTGCACGCAGCGCCATGGCTCAGCCCCACGAGGAACGTGATCCCTGTAGGCACAGCTGCCTCAGTACAAACCTTTCCTCCAAACAGGAGAAGTTGGGTTTGCTACCTTAGAAAGTGACATCTGAGGCTGTAATTGCAGCAAATCAGTGGACCAGAGGCCTGAGAACCCAATTAACCACATTTTATTCTCTTTTTTGGCTAAAGGGTAAGTTATTGTTTTGCCCTGTGGAATCCCTGGTATCAATCGGGGCCCATGGTTCCTTTGAACTCCTGGGCACGAGTTGGTAATAAATGTTTTGCACTCTTTTTCATACTGATCCGTCCAGCAGCAGCGATTCACTCAGTAACTGTGTCAAATAAGTAAAGCATAAGCACTGGGCCCCCCAGCCCTCATTTCAGGAAGGGTGCCACAGAAAGACTAAGTAGAATTGTAAGCTAACTCCAGTGGGAAGGGGCCTCAGGAGGTTTCTAGTCTAACTTCCCCGTGCTGGACTGTATTGATGGGGGGAAAAATGTTTTCCTTATATCCCATTTGACTATGTTTTTTTTTTCAAGTTGCACCCTTTCTCACTGGAAGAGCCTGGCTGCTTTTCCAACAATCTCTTCACCTGTTCATAGGTCCTTTGAACCCATCTCTTTTCCAGGCTGAAGAAGCCCAGTTCATGGAAGACATGTAACTATAACATAGTGTGGTGATGGTCTCCAGACTCACAAGTGCTACATCAAGAAAGAAAATTAAAAATTAAGAGAATGTAAAGCAGCTAAAGGAGGAAGGGCACCAAAATCTATAACAGCAAAGGACACTTCAAAAAAATTCTGTCTGTGGGACAGTGCTACTGCTAACCTCACTGGCAGAGTTGTCCTTTTCCCCTTCGCTAGTGTAGCCTTGGGTTTGTCACACTGAAAGCAAATGCAGCTTACACTGGGTCCTTAAATGTGCATGGAATTTACCGTCTTCTCCTATAGCCTCTTTGAAATGTGTAACTTAGTAGTATATCCTCACCTTGTGCTTAAAGATATATACAACCCTGCAGTGAATTAACCCTGTATTTTTAGGGTGGAAAGTTTAATGTAAGTCACATTAAATCCTTCACTGTCAGAGCTTCAGTCTGCTGTTGTACGTGTTTACTGCTAGCATAACTCTACTGGAATCTTTTTTGATTCAGGTTAAATCAGTTGTTTTCAACAAATGTTTACAAGCACTGGATGGAGTGGGAGAAGAGCATCATGTATATGCTCATCACCTTGTATTCTGTATTGTTTGGATATTGTTACTGTTGTAAATTGTTGGGTGAGCATCACAGAATATTCACATGTTGTTCTGAAGATTAAAGTTTGTAAACTTTCCTGTTTGGATAGTTCTGAAAACTTGTTAATTTATATTCTATGACTATGAACATCTGAATGTTCTCCTAAACCACCTATGTCATAAACACCATGGTTTTCTGAGTGAGTACCACATTTTTTCACATTTATAAGGTTCCACCACATCACCTGGTATTTGGATAGTTGGAGGTTCACTGTGTTCCATGCAGCAATTGTTGATTCCCTATCACTGCTTGGTCAGTAGTTAACTGCTAAAGGTGACAGTTCCTGCAAGGCTGCTCTGATGACATTTGGTTTCTTCTTCAAATGGCTGCATTTACAGCCTCTTAACTGTGGATCAAATTTTCTTTTTTTTTTTTGTTTCCCTGCAGAGGGTTCGTCCTTGACAGAAGTAGTGGAGAATGATTCTGGACCTGGTTGTCCAGCATGTCCTCAAGAGAAGAGAAAAATAATTGTATTTGACTATTTCCTGGTTTTATGTAGTTCTTTTTCTACGTCCCCCAAGGAACTGCCCGTGGTGACAGATTGCCTTTTTTACCTCTGCAAAGTGAGGGAGTATATATCACTTGACCCTACTCCCTAAGGGATAAAGTTACCCTGTAGCTATTACTGTTTAGTCACTTTCCACTCACTGAAAACTTCCTTTGGGTAGAGTTCAAGAACCATATTTTAGATTTGAGTGCAACTCCTAAGTAATCATTCTGGCAGCTTCAAGGAAGAGTAGATTTTTATTATAGAGAGGAAGGGAAAGATTCAAATTAGTTACTTTGACATTCAGAAGAGACAGACATCCAGAAAAAGAGCAAGGCACTTTAAGTTGAGCATAGTATGAGCTATTAATCTAGCAGAAAGTTCTATGAAGGACAGAACTAGTTTCCTCTGTAAGGAAGCTGCAAAAGTCTGCAGAAGCAGTGCAGTCATCTTTCAGCCACTGCCTTCTCCCTGCAGCAGTATGCTCACCATCCAAAACATTTCACAAATGGTCAGAGAGCAAGAGATGACTACACATGAAGAGCATCAAGCATGCAAACTCTCCCAGGTAACTTGTCTTTGGATTTGCACTTGAGTGCAGGCCCCTCTGAATAGTTCACATGTAGCTTTTACTGCAAATGGAGTGACAGCCTCAGTGACTACAACTGAATCAGTGCGGTGAAGGTGCAGTCACCTCCTTTGCATGGATGGATATGTTCAGTGTTTAATTCCCATTTTCATTTTACATACGTGGGGAAAAAAAAGCCAACTGAGACAAAATTCATTAGAAAGCCAGCTTCAATGATCTTATAAGCTATTTGAGGGCTGGTAACTCCAGACGATACTTGATGTTAGGCCATTGTTTTCTTGTCTAGTATGCTCGGGAAGTGAATATTCTATAACTTTGTGCAACTGACTGTGAATGCTGTGGCTTAAAAACTGATGCCTGCCAGGGTCACCGATCAGCACTTCTGTTTGTTGTAGCCTGATGTGTTTCCTCAGCCAGTGATGCAGGCCGTCAGCAAGTTGTTCATCGTAAAACATATCTCCTAGAACAATGAGGTCCCAGTTGCCAGCCTCTGAATTAATAATGTTCTTAATGGTGATGGGGAAGGGATTCAGGTGGTTCAGTTCACAGTTCAAGATCATTGCCATTCCTGCAACTGAAGAAAAGTCAAAGTAAAATAAAAGTTACATTTTAGGATTCTGCCATTCAGCCCCGTTACAAATGTCTCTGACACATCTTTCAATTGAGTATTTTTGTTTATTCTGTCTAGGAACTTCCAGTTTTCATTATGGGTCAAAATCTGGCATAAAGTGATAGAATTTTATCCTTGGATCCTGACACAGGAAAGAATTATGCCTGGATGTCAATGGAATACCATTGGATACCAGTGGAAACCCATCACAGAATCAAACCAGAATATCCAGCTGCCTTCATCTGTGGATGTACTTCCTCCCTAACCAATAAGTAATTAACTTATGAATAAGCTGAATTCATAAGTCAATTACAGGAAAGCAAAGTCCAGGGGAAAAAGACAAAATCTAGGCCCTGACATGAAAGTGCAGAAAAATGCTATGGCCCTACAGAGAAGCAAACGTGCCACCTGTGCTTGTAGTTCTCTTCCAAACCAGCCATGATAGCGTATAGGCAAAATCTAATAGAAACTTTGCTCTGTGTTTATTCTAAGGAGCAATGGAGATAGACTTAGT